TGATTTTTATTTTTTACAGAGATACTAAGACTATTTCAGTCTGTTGATAAACATCATTTCTGTCCAATGGAAAATTACAGTAAGAAGTCTGACATATAACAAATTATGAGATGATAATCAAAAAATCTATTTGTATTTTACAGAGTGCAAGTAGGCTACAGATGTATCACAGTCATCTACTTCTAATTTTCTCTTTTAAAATAAAGATTACTAAGGTCTAAAAGTTATTTCTTTATTACTATTCTATATCATATATATTTAATTTTTGTGATTAAACTATAAGATAAGGATAAACAGATATAACCTTGTAGATTATGCAAAGCAAGTATGTACACAAAAATAAAAACTATTTAATTGTCAAGAGAAAATATACTAACTTATTCCTAAGCTGAAAGGATTGTTTTTTCCATAATTAGAAAGGAAAAGAGTAGGATTAAATGCTAAACTAACTAAAAAAGTTGTAAGTAGTTTGCAAGAAAAGAATCTTATATGTAGTCATGCTGCTAATATTGACTAAACTTACTTACAAAGTTTTAGTACTTTTTACAGGGCCCAATATTGTACTAATGCAAAGCCAAACTTCTTTTCAGTGATAAAATGAAAATCTTTTCTTGGGTTAGAGTAATGCTTTTAATAAGGGATGATAAGAGGTATTTCTATGCCTTTGATGTATTATGCCTAGAACAATAAGAATTTGGGTCTTCTCAGAACACTTTCTTATGCTTTACAGTAATTTTTATCATACCTTTGGCATTTCAGAGAACTGAGACTTCTCTCTTCTGAAAGCGCTGAAATGTTTTACATTTTTCACAATATTGCTTTCTCCATATGAAATCCTAAATAAAATCTTCTCAAACTGATCTTAAGATTTCTCAGAAGACTTCCAGACATTTGCAAATGATTTATTCTTCTACTTCAGTGAGAAAAATGTTAAAAAATAATTGGATGTTTTTGATTGATGTTTTCATTACATAAAAAGCATTGCAAAATAAAAAGAAATGTTTTAATCTTCCTTATGTTATATTTGGATGTGTAAACATTATAACACTGTTGTCTAAGTATTTCTGAAATTGTATGAGATTCCAAGAAACTTGTCAACATCCTTGTTGTCCATAAATTATCCTGTTATATCAGTCTTAATTCCTTATTGTTATGTAAAATGTCATATGGCAACGCAGAACAAACTTGACAAACTTGACCCTTATCAGCTGTTTGTTCTTCTTCTTCTCCTCTTTTCCTTCTTCTTCTGTTCAGTGTTAGATCAACTGTATCATTTTATGAATAACTCTCATCAGATCTTTGATCATGAATATTTTAAATTTTTGTCACTTACAGAATATTTATTTCTTCTCTGAAAGCACTTGCAACCAGCTATAGATAATAGGCTACAAAGTTTCATGGTGGCATTGATTACTTAATTTTGAGCCCATACCAGTTACTTGAGTGGAGATGTTCAGGACTCAAGTGTAGAAGCTGATTAGTTCATGAAATTGCCAACTGATGAAGTAGAAAAAGAATTACTTACTTGGGACTCAGTAAACTAATTCAGGATGATTATGGTTCATTTTGAACCCTCCTTGGTCTTTTTTTTTTTGGTTTTGGTTTTTCTCAGGTACCAGGAACCGAACTCACGACCTTGCGCTTGCCAGGCAGGCGCTTTGCCGCTGAGCTAAATCCCCAGTCCTCCTCCTTGCTCTTTTAACGTTTAATTTTTCTGGTTTTGAAGAACGTCTTTCCTTTTTACTCAGGTCATCTACACTTGCAAAGATTAATAGATTATCCCTTTGTAAACATAAATGAATCATTGACCCTTTCTCCCTGACTCATTCCTACAGAATTTGAATCTTCTGTGTTTTTATTTTCATTGCCTACACTGCACAGTTATTGGCATCAGTTCAAGAGAAGTTTATCCTCCTCACAACAGGACACAATGGGAGTATTGGTTATATTTCCAAGACCATGACTATAATAGCACATTTGAGAATGATTTGAACAGAATCTGACTAAAATTTTTTAAAAGGTCAACTTTAGGGAACGGATATTCACAAAATTCTCTTGGAAAAACAGGCTTATGTGGTTCTTAGCCTTATGCATTTATAAAATCAGTTCTTGGCGGGCCCAGAAATCTTAGGAACTTAAGAAAATTTAAAGCAATTCATTCAAATCTGTACATTTGCAAATTGAGTCAGATAATGAAGTGAGTGTTTAGTTTCCTTTCCTAGGTGTGAAAAGTTCTTAAAATTCTAATCTGTTGAGTGACCAGTGATGTTGAACATTTTTATATATTTATTTGCCATTTGTATTTCCTCATCTGAGAAGTGTGCATTCATCTCAGATTGAATTTGGAGGGTCTGAATTTGATCATTCTAAAGATGCAAATTAACACTGAGATTCCACCTCACTCCAGAAAAAATGACTATCATTAAGAAATCAACTAATAACAAATGCTGGAGGAGCTCTAAGGAGAAAGGAGACCTTCTCCACTGTTGGTGGGAGGGCACTATGGAAATCCCTATGCAAATTCTTCAGAAAACTAGGATTAAGCATGCAAAATTGATCAAAAAATTAAGCATTAATTGTTCCTTTCAATAAACCAATAGAAATTAGTAATACAATTATCTTAGCTCTCTTGTGTGTATATGTATAATTCTTTCCCTTCATTCATTCATTCATTCATTCATTCATTCATTCTTTCTTTCTTTCTTTTCTCCTTTCCTTCATCCCAGTTCTTTCCTTTTGAGCAGTTTCTTTCCCTTTCACAATATCTATTGCAGCTTTTGGATTTTATTTGCTCTTTCAGTTTCTTACACTAGGGAGGCAATATGATGAAGATCACAATGTGAAATATAACAACAATTGTTAATTTCCTATCATAGTGTTTTGAAATTCTGTATCTTTTTAAACTTTTTTAAAATTTTATTCCCTTTAAAATAAAATTAAAAATTAAAATTAAAAAAACTAAGATTAGAGGTTCCATTTGACCAGTTATTGCCCTTTTGAGTATCTTCCCAGAAGAATTAAAACACCATACCACAAGTATATATGTGCAC